GCATTTTCGTTCATATGCATACGGAGGGACGGGATCTAGTGTTATCTCCGTCACCCGCAGCGAGTAGTACGAATTGAGGAGCCCCCCTTCCCACCCCAGGTCCTCTGGACTGGAGGCAACTGCAAACGGACGAAGAACAAACATCCGACGGTCGGCATTAACCGGTCACCTTCATCCTCTCATCAAGGGGCACGATGACTGATGGGCCCTAACCACCACAAGCCCCCTTCCGCTAAATTCACAATCCCCATTAACTCTGTTTGTCACCTACCTATAAGTACTGTGAGGCGCGGTACGAAACTTACCTCCGGTAGCTTACTACGGTAACTTTTCTGTTTTTGAAACGTCAGGAAAAAATACAGTTATGGTTCCCGAGATCGCCCTTACTTCACATATATGCCCGGGGACTCGCATCTTTGCTCCAATTGGCAATATATATATATGTATATATAATCCTTAACAATACATATATATGCAGAAAGAAATTTCATATACATATATGATACAAAATGATGACGCAAACTGGGAAAAACGCTTACCCCATGTTGTCGAATAGTCTCTTCGAGTTCGATCTTTTCCGTCTCCGTGGCCTGAAGTCGACGAAGAAGATCTTCTCGAGCGGCCTTGAGATCGTTCACCTTTTTGTTGAGGTTTTCGATCTGGTTCTGCCGATTCTGCCGGCATTTCGCTGCTGCTACCCTGTTGCGCTCTCGCCGCTTCTCACGCCTGGCGGCCTCGTCCTCACTCACCTGAAAAAGGGGAGGGGGAAGGGCCGCTGATGCGATTACTGTCAAAACACAGTATTCACAGTTATAATTTGCCGGAACTGCCATAACTCATGGAAGGTGAGGATCGAAAATTGAGTGGTTGGTTTAACAGACGTTTGAGGTTTTTAGCACTTTGTTCATTGAATTGACCTGAGGCGTAAAATGCTGTTTACTCGAAAAGAGTTCAGTTCAGGTCAGGGAAGGATGGGCAGAATTTGAGAAAATGCAAACTTT